GGTCAGCTCAGAGCGGTCTGAGAGGACACACCCTTCCTGGAGGAGTTGGCATGGATTCCTCAACATCACCCACAATAAATATGTATAGTTCATTTCAAGGAGCCTGGTTGAATTGCAGATGTGCAATTCCAGTTTTTTTTTTCTCTGAATAAGTTTCATGCACATGTCCTTCATATCTGAGAAAAGAAATGTGCATGTTTAACCAAATCTCGACAACTGATAAGGCGGCCCATCTCTTAGTATGTATTTTGGCCAATAACTGAGCAGCTGACACAGTATGGACAACACCTTCAATACACAACACTCAGGAATCTTAAAAATGACAAATACAATTGGTAATATCCCTAAAAGGGTGCAAAAAGTTACACTTCACAATAAAACTATAAAGACAAGAGCCTCCAATTTTGGACAAGTCTTGTTAAGAAAACATAAGTGCACTGATTTTCCTCTGTTATGGTGAAATCAAATCTCTGCATGGAAGAGGCAAAGACGTTATTTCTGTTTTTCATTGTCTGATAAGAAAAATGAATAAAAGCCAAAACCATATCCCATACAAATCCTCTTCCAAATTACAGCATAATTCAGCGAATAAGCTGCTCAGCTGTTGGCAGATAACTGTTTTTGTTCTTGCCACTTTATTGTTCCTAAAACACAAGTGTGTTTTGCTCTCACAAGTCAAATTGCACATGACTTTTATAAAATAAGAGTCAATCTGGGATCCACAGACCATAATATCCTATCTATGATTTGATCTCACAAAACAATCTTTTTCACTTTCAGTCTCGTTCCTGCAGCTCCAACACGTCTGGATTGGCCTCAGGCTATTTGTTAAGCAAACTTCTCAGCAGGACAAGAGACGAGAGGCCAAACACTGAGGTCATTGTCGGGTACACATTTCATTTTCAGCTCTGTTGTTTTTACAGTCTGGTTCAGATGGTGCAGATGCCTCTCTCAGGACCAAAGTAATTTTTCAAAACTGCGCTGTATATAATGTTGAGCGACAGGGCAGATAAGAGCAAATTAGGCAAAGGAGAGGAGGACATGCTCGGTTTGCACTCACAGCTGACCCCTTATGTTGCAAGCACATATATCTGAGTGCCTCAGTGCTGATGCTGTTTCATCTGCAACACATTTCTCTATGCAGAAACCCTCTGGATCATTTTTTGATGCTGTTATAAATGAGCATTTTATATTAGCTCATAATATATGATATATATTACCAATTTTCAACTTTATATTGTATCTACTCAATCACAAGCAACTGTTATAGGCCATAAACCACTGATGTTTGTGGGTCAAATTCCTCAGAATTAGAATAATATATTAAAACAAATCTCCTGCATTTCATTCTGTATCCCTTCACATTTATATATAGAAATATATTGCAGCTGATAAATGCATGAACAAATGCCTCTCTCCATTCTCTAGCAGGGAGGCAAGAGGAAAAACAAAGTCCAAATCTAATTTTAAACCTCAGACAGGCTGTTTGTGGGTTGTTGTTTAGACTCAGTCACATGCTTGTGGAAGAGGGTATTTTTATTGTGCACTTTATTGTAAACTAGGTCACTCACTTTTGTGCGTAAAATGAAAAGGGCATGGCACCATGCCCGTTTGCTGCTCCACACAGATTCCTGCACAAGTCTTGTGGTTTACAGTTAAAATAGCAAAAAAAAGCGCACACAGTGTTAATATACGAACATGAACTGTTCCTTTAGCTGCAGGGCTAACAGACAGATGGCTGTGGCAACCAATTGAGAAAACCATTTGCATGCAGGGTTTAATTGCGCAGGCTTCAAAGCATTAAGTAAAAGTACAAACAGGACAAAAGTGGGTGAAGCGGGAAGACAGAGCTGCTACACCTGTATCTGGTGTAGAAGTGAGCATATGCAATGATGGAAAGATTAGAGCAGTGATGATGGAGGGGAAATACACATGGCTCACCTGTTTGCTGCTGGACCCAAACTCTAACCGTCTGTGTTTGGGAGAAACAGAGGAATAGCATCACCAAATTGAACCACATGTTGGGAAACAAAGGATTGGCTGCTCTCTTCTCCTTCTTCTTCTTCTTCTTCTTCTTCTTCTTCTGTTTGCAGAAATACTTTTCTCCGATTCCCCACTTCCACCCGTCACTCTCTTCCTTCCCTCCGACTCTCACTCTTCTACCACACACCGCTCGGCTTCCAACTACACCCTTTCTCTCCTCCTCAGTGCTGTTCGTTCGTTGTCATGGTGATCACAGAGGCACAAGGATCAGCTGATGAGGCTTTGGAGCAGGGAGGAGAAAGTCCATCATCTGCACACTTTTACAGTGAGTTGTCTTCTTCTATATAATGTATTTCTCTGTTTGGGATTCCACTTTAGTTTTCTGGTGTCACAGCATCATTCAGTGTGAGAGAAGTGTAAATATGAAAATCCACTGGAGTTTCACTCCACACCAGCGGTGTGGCGCCTCCCCCTGTCCAAACCAGCTGCAAAGACAGTGAGAAATCTGACGTCTGAGATTAGACATGGAGATCATGATGCTACCACTGCCAGCCCTTAAATCAGTGCTAGTTATGATATTACATAGTCCATGTCAAGTTTGTTTACAGCTCCTCAAAACACTGTGTCTATTTTCTAACAACTACATTCTTTTGTTGCCCACATGGAACAGAAAAGTCTCTTTGTTGCTATTTAGTTTCCAGCAGCTATGTAAAAAAAGTGGTAATTATGGTATGCAAAACTGATAAAAAGCAAGCTTTACAAGCACTGTGGCCTCTCATTGCCACCGCTTTCATAGTTTGTATCTGCTTTGAGAGCAAACACGGTATCCTTGGCAGAGAAAATGGTAGCTGAGCATTTATTGGAGTCACAGCTGGAGAGGCAATCAGTATCCTGTCCAATAATCCAGGCTGCAAACGCAGCATACAGCGTCACAGCAGCAGGTGGGAGTTGCCACACAGAGAGGCCATACTGACTTTTTCAAGCAAATAATACACATCTTTCACATGCTCTTGTTTTCCAAAAATTAATGTTTTACCTACTGTGCATAAAGTTAGGATCCCTTGTGCTTCCGCAGATGGTGAGCTTCAGCAGCAGCAAAGGGACGGCAACACAAAGCTGGAGTATTATTCTGAAAAGACTGTAACTCTGTAAAATACCCACTTGATTTGTCTAAATCAGTCCGCTGAAGCCTCGTGTTCACTTCATGAGCACAAGACAGGAGGGACAGTTACAGCGACCAAAAAATCAGAGTCATAGTTCAGAGGCAAGGGGAACTTGTAGATGCATATATACACCTTTGATGATATAGCATGATCATTTCAGTAACTTCACATTGATTCATTCTACAGGCAAAGTATTAACTGATATTTCTTAGACAATAATTTTGTATTACACATAAATTAGAACACCCCAATCTCACATTCAGTCGTGTGTGTGCATGATGTGTTGTTACCAATATCAATCACAAGATGTCACTGGAGTTGTGGCTCAAAATGCATCCAGGGGAATAGACTTTTTTCACTGCAGACGTGATGACTTGTCAAGGCAGGTGAAACTATTTTGTTGGCTCAGTTCCACCAAGTGTCCCAGTAATCCTTGACAGTGAGCCAGCATGCACAAAACCAGGACCCTGGAACTAATGCACCTAAACTGAATGTTATCACCTGAATGTACACCTGTGCTTTTCATGCTATGACAAGCCTGAATGTCTGCAGTGAAAAAGGTCTACAGAGCTCTCTATCAGGAATTCATTAGACAGAGATAAAGATAATCTGAAACCCACTGTCAAACATTTAAAAAAAGAAATCTCAGTTTTTCTCTCTCACTCTATATTTCACTTTATAATACTGCAGTCCAAAATGCTTTAAACACCCACCTATAGGTAAAATTATGTGTGTCACTTTTATGCAACTTAGATTACACTGAGATGGTTAAGTAGACTGTTACCTGTAGGATTACCACAGCTCTTTACATTGTCCTGCAGCCCTTGCCTGCATTATAGCTATATGTTTAAGTTAGCCTAAATCTGTTGAGCTAGATGTTTTTGTTTAGCTGTATGTCTATATATTTCATCTTTGTTATGTGACGACATGCTTGGCCAATAAAGTTTTGCGGTTCAATAATTGCGCTTGACAAGATTTCACAGTTGTATTCAGTTAAATTCAGAAACTACATCTTCCAAAAATGATATGTAAGATGAATCAACACTTCTGTGAAACACTTTCAACACAAACTGAAAATTAAAACCGTGAAGTAGGATTTATTGCAAGACTGTTGTATTAGTTTTAGCCAGGTGTTCCTAATAAACTGAGCGTACGTGTAACAGTCGTAGTATTTCAGTTCATATGGGCTCATTCTCCCCCTCATGGTAAAAGTACTGTATTGCATGTTAGATAAGCAGTTACATACAGCGACTATCGGCAAATTATACTCAAAGTATACTGAGCTAAAACTAGCCTATATATATCAATAAAATGAACGAATTGAAACATTGTCATCAGAATTAAATACCGTTATGGGAGATGCAACGATCATCAGGGGGTATAGCTCAGTGGTAGAGCATTTGACTGCAGATCAAGAGGTCTCCGGTTCAAATCCGGATGCCCCCTAGGTTTCTGTTTTGTGTGGATTTTTCATGAAATCTACCTCCCTGAGAATGAGACAGACATTTTTACAGCTATATAAAAACCACGCTTATAGCTGCTATGAGGTTATTTGTAGGTCAGAAAAGAGAACACTTCCGCCTGGCTCCATTGCTCAAATCACAAACATGAGGAGAAAATACAGAGAAATAAAGTGTAAAAAACTATAGGATTTCTTCTGTTGTGCTGCTAAAACGAGCTGCTGTGATGAAGACTGACTAACTTACTGTAACTGCAGGCATAAACCACCCTTCAATGTCATGCTGCGTTTCCTTCTTGACACAAAGAATATTACAGCTGCAGGATAGACAACACATCCACCACATATTTTACAATAACATTTATTTTAAGAAATTACAAAATACAATATATACATTTTGAATATGACTAATCGTCATTAGCAGCTAGCTCATTTCCCTGTTCAGGAAATTGCTGTAATATACAGTAAATAGTCCAAGAGCTTTGTTTTTAAAAAAAAAAAAAAATACTAAAAATCTTTAGGTTTAAGAAGACAGGTCTTTTGTTCTCTGGCATAAAATATAATTTCTTTCACCAGGCACTGACTTGTATCTGATAGTTTGTGAGAATTGAAGACCACAGGAGCAACTGCATTTGGTTTAGCTTCTTCTTCTTCATTAGTTACAGCATTGTCTTCCATAGAGGTTTATGGATAGGCAGCTACTAACTCACTTGTTATTCAAAACCTGTTTTGTAACTGGTGAGGTACACAATGTGGAAGTAGCTCAGGCATGTGAAGAAAGAAAGAAGTCAGTGATAGCAATCACCAATCAGAGGTCAAAATGAGATCATTATTATTCCACTCAAAGGTTTTTGTGATATTTAACAGCCCCAGATAGCCCTAGTAAAATTGAAATATGAGAAAAAAAACAACACTTGTAAAATATAAACTTTATCATCTGTGATCTACCTGCTTCTTGTTTCCCAGATGCTGACTCAAGTTTAGGTTGTTAGGTTCAATCATTCAGTGTGGGTAATGAATCAGCAATATCTTAACTTTACAGTTCAGTAAAGTAAGGTAGGCTATTGTTGTCACTTGATTAACCCCAGTGAATGAAACCAAAGAGGAATGTGATGTGACTGCCAGGATATCTTGGGTAAAAATGGTGCTTGTTTACACATGAGCCACTTCAGGAAACCTGCGGTAAATTCACACAAAACACTTTCTCACTGAGTACTTCCTCATTAAAACAACTGAGAAACAGAGATTCCTGAAATATATTCAAACTACCACGGAGCTATTGAGGAGTTCTTCAAGATCCAGGATCCTGATATCATTCAGGTTGCTTTATCGCTCAGTCACGCTACGGCCCAGCCTCAGTAGAACATGTACCTACAGGATGTACTGTTCTGTAGGTGTGGTGGTGCAGGCCCTACCACAGATGCCATCTTCACATGACTCTGCCTAAAACACTGTAAATAACCCTGGCACTGTGGCCTGTGCAGCGCCTTTGAGGTTGGCTCAGATTCAGGAAGTTTGATCCACTGGACGGCATTTCAGTTTGCCACAACCCGAGACCTCATCCAATCCAGACTGGCAGGCAGACTTCAGGGAGAGAGAGGAGAGAGAGAAGCACTTTTAGAGCCGAGGAGATGTAGAATAAAGAGGTGATTCTAGCACATGGTGATGTTTGTAAAAGTATTTTGCTGTTGGCTGTGTTAGTCACTTTAAGGACTGACTCATGCACAATAATAGTAGGCAGAAAAAGAGGGTGTGAGGTGTGTTAGACTCACCCCTCTCCTGTCAGGGCGCAGCAGGCTTGGACATGCCAGGAGTGTGTTGTGATGGAGTTGAGTGTGAGGAACTGGGAGATCTCTGCCGCCGTCATCGAGCCTTTAACATCTTGTTTGTTGGCCAGAATAAGAATGGCTGCACTCCGTAGGTCCTACATCGAAATAAGAGAACACGGGTCACCAATGCTGCTTTCAGTGTCGATGTTTCTATAGAACTGAAATAGTTTCATGTGGAAACTTTAAGTATGTCCCTACGTCACATTTTTGAGAACAAAGAACAGTCGCCTCAGCAGAAAACATGACAACACGCTGACTAACACAGTCTACGCTGACACTTCCTCATCATGTTGTGTCATGGGTTTGTAAGCTATGGTGCAATTAACTACTGAAAGCAGGTGTGTGTCTCAAACATGAAAACAAGAATGACAGACATGGGCAGTTTCATCGAAAAGCAAAATGGTTTTATGTCAAGGGAGCATTTAAACTAAAGTGGTTCATTATTTTGCTAAAATCCTGTGTAATGAGCAGTAAAAAAAAAAGAAACCGCCCTTATTTATGATTTCTAAGCAGTATAATTTAAAAGCATATTTTAAAAGATTCATCAATACAGTATTATAACTTTGCCCTTAATTAGCATTTAATAAATGGTTTATAACACACTGTCATGTAGTTGTAATGAGACTTATGTGTCTATTAATGTATCTGTCAACAACTTTGATGAACAAATGAACAGATAATAAAGTAAAACAGTTGTGATCATATAAAATATGTCTTACACTACAATTACAACTAAATTATACTGTGTCATAAACTGTTTATTAAATGTGTGTGTACTGCTTTAAAATGGGTTAGGGTAAGTGTTAGTAAGTGTTACCCATAACTTATCTAGTTTTATATAAATACAACTGTGTTTTATTATATAGTCATTTATTATTAGAAGCTGTTTTCTGTTTCTAACTACATTATAATATGTATTGATTATTAAATGTTTATACCCTGCTGGGGTCTATAAACATGGGGTCTTTGTACCTCATGTGCGAGCATCTGGTGCAGCTCCTCTTTGGTTAGAGTCAGACGTTCCCTGTCGGTGCTGTCCACAACCACAATGACAATCTGAACAACCACAACACACAGGAGACACAATTATTAGCACACAACTGTATATCTCACATTATCAGAGCACGTCATCAGTGACTGTAATCACACAAGGGAGCAGAAGAACATACATTACAAACACTTATGTAGCAGTGCTAAGTAACAGGCTTTATCAATACAAGGAGCAGAGGATGATAGCAAGGAGCCATTGTAGGTTAATGTGCAGCAGCTCAGTCAGCACTCACTTATAAACATTTATACTGCTCGTGTTTACTCTTGAATATCAGATGTTACAGCCTCCAATGTCAACTATTATTTATATATTTTGAATTTTAAAGGATCAGTGTTCTTGTTTAAAGCTTGAAAACTAAGATTTGTGTTTTCTGGGAAATAAAAAGTCCAAACTTAAATGTGTGGGTTTTACACCTTCAGCACCTTTCTGACTTTTATGATCCTTTTCGATTTCAGTATCTTGTGTCTTGTGCTGCACATACAGTATAGATAGAGGAGCTGACTACAGAGAGTGGTCCATACCTCTGTGTTGCAGTAGTACGAGTTCCAGGTGGCTCGGAGGTTCTCCTGTCCTCCGATGTCCCACACCAGGAAATGTGTTTTACGTACGATGATCTCCTCAACGTTGCTGCCGATGGTGGGTGATGTTTGGACGGCCTCCTTTGTCAGGCTGGACAAGTGGAAAGGAGAGAAACATTTAACATGGGGAAGAAAGAGGAGTACAGATGATATGAAGCTGATGTAAGTTTATATGACCCTACTGGAGCCAAAGCACTTACAACTGGTAGAGGACGGTTGTCTTTCCTGCATTGTCCAAACCCAAAATGATGACTTTGTGCTCTGCAGGAAAAGATTAAAACATTGGTTGGTTTTCCCCTCTTGAACACGGTCTTATCTTGAGTTGCAGAATTAGTTTAAACTCATCAGAGGACACACAGATAAGATAGGGACAGGTGCAGGACTTTGCTGTACCTAGCAGAACAGCAGTGTAGTTATTACATCACCATTAATACCACTAAAACACAGGTTTCAAGTCAGGTTATCTATAGCCTTCTGTGCTTCAACTGAGAATGAAGCTGAACTTTAACAGTCTTAGTTTTACTGCACGTCAGTCAGAGTAAAAGGAAATGTCTTTTAATAAAAGTGATAAAACATTACAGTGGAAAATATAAAAAGCAGAACGTGTGAGGAGCAGCAGGAAAACAAGTTTATTGTAATTACAACCAACATATACTGTCTCAGATCCTGAGAGATGCAAAACAGAAACTGTGTAAACTGAAGCGAGTCTCACCTCTGTCACCGAACACAGCCATCATCTTGGTCAGCAGGAAGCCCATGTCCAACAAGTGTGTGTGTGTGTGTGATAAATAAACTATAAATCAAATTAGGGCAAACTTCAGTGTGTGTTAACAGCTGACTGTCAGACGAGCTCTACTCCTACGTCTAATATCAGTTTCAGCGTCAGTGGGCGGCGCTTCAAGAAAATGGTATTTTTCAGTCAGTCAAGGACGAAGGGCATAGTAACGCTGCGTTCAAGTGCTGTGGGAAACGTCTGAATTTAAGCAGAGGTGGACATGAGGACAGATGGGTATTTTTTATTGCTGTGAGAGATTGTTGATTAAGTGCAGAACCAAAATGACCATAAAGAAACCAAACACAAGACATTTAAGTAACGGTATAGGCTACTCTATTTACTTGACATAGGCTATGAGTGTGTAGAAGCCATTGAAGCACTTTTCTTTAGTACTTCTTTATTGTTACTGCTTTATCTTTAGCTTGTATCTGCTGGATATTTGTTTATTGTACCAACGATATTTTCCCCTAACTAATGGATTTGAAAACAAACAAGCAAACATGAATAAACAGATGAACAAAAACGTTTCCTTAAAACTTCACTGAGTACGTCAAAAGCAACTGATGACTCACACATGTTCAACCCATATTTGGAAGAAGAAGTGAAACAGTTTTTTTTCTTCTCTCCGTGTCACGGGAACATTGTTATGAAGCAACAGAAAGCAAAACTGGGTATGGAAAGTACTTTCCCCCGTGCTTTCCATTCAACCGTTCAGATATGTCCAGGTATTTTCCAAGACCTTACAGTAATAATAATAATGGTAATGATAATGACAACATCTCTGCATATTAAGAACCTCTTCACTGACATAATTAAGAGATTTTTGCTCTAACCCATAAAATTCAAGATGATAAATGTCAGGAGATGAACCTAATGTTCAGAAAATATATTCATTCATTTTCCCTGTTCATCCTCAGTGTTTCTGTGACTCCGCTGTGCTGGTATTAATATTTTGATTTCATCTGCTCTGCTGTGGTCTTTTCTCCATGTCAGCTTTCTGTCCTAGCCACAGTGTTACTCCTCCTCCTGACATTAGGGTGTTCAACTTGAGTGCATCAGCCATTAGGTATAACTCTGTGTGTAGTTGTCATTTCCTTTTTACTTTAAATATAAAAACTTTTAAAGACAATCCTGGATGCAAAAGAGATCCAGACATGTGACGTACCTCTGCTTCAGTAAATGTATTATCTCAACGTCCACAAATGACCTTTCAGAGCATGACATTTTCATATTTACAAGTTTCCAGGTTTTACTGTCATGTTTTTGACCAGTAAAGTATTTTATTACTACATTTGTACTTCAGTATTTCCATCTTATGCTGCTTTGTACTTTTTATACTATGCTATTATACATTTTAGTCCATTAGATATTTTTAACAGCAACAGTTACAAGTAATATGATGAGCCTCTAAAACAGGATTTGTTCTAGACTTAACTGCCCAGCAGCTAATGTAAATTAGCTCCAGGTATAACAATAAAATGGCTGTGTGGAGTTGATCTGGTCCCATAAAGTGAGTGTTTGTGACTTTGATATTACAGAAACACACTGGGATCTTTCCGCTTCTGCTGTGGACTTTGTTAGACACCTCTCTGATGTCAGGCTCACGATTGAATGTGAGAAGTAAACCATCATCTCGTTTCCTCCACTGCAGAGTGTCAGTGAGATGCAGGTGATAAAATAACACTGATGCGAGAAATAAAAACCACATCCTGGAATCAGCCAAGCTTCAACTTCAGCCTTTTACATAATGTGTTTCCTCCTTGAATGCCAGACATGCCAGTTGTGAGTAAACATGTTTCATCTTTGAAGGAGTAGTTTGGAGTTAATAATCCCTGTCAACATGAATGAGGAAACAAAGTGACAAAGATCTGTTTACATTTTTTGCATTGGATTCTACTTATCTGAAAAGCATTGGAAGCCAACAACCTGGTCTTTGTTTATTGTTTTGCATGTGCAGGCAGAGTGGTGTCAGGTGTTATATTAGCAACATCATTACACAATCATCTTTTGTTGTGTCCTTAAAATAATGAAGAGAATGAAATAACAACAACGTAGGTTGAGTTGAAGAAGAAGAAAGAAAAGCTTCCCCTCAACTAAAGTCTCTTTGTATGTTGACATAAAAGGCAACCCCACTAATAAATATGAAAGTGTACACATGCACACACAGGTTTAACATCTTTGAAATCTTTGATAACGTCATCTCACCTTTTAAATCAATTGACACGATGGCATTTTCTGGTTAAATTTTTAATTAAAATACGAATTTATCCACAGATTAAAAATGAAAGGCAGAAAAAGCAAAATGTAGCTACAATCAGGCACCAATGATACATGTTATCTCATATTTTTAACAATTGCGATAACGCAACAATAACATTATTTACTGATCATTATTTAATATTTATTTATTCAACTGAAGACGAGCGGGCCGAGGCAGCCCACCAAAGACATTCATGGATTCTCCATTATAGATAACTGAGTAAAGACCAAAGCTGATCCTACCTCCCCCCACCCCACCGGATCCTCCTCTCACTACCTCACAAGAATTGAAAGATTTCAAAAAAAAAAAAAAAAAAAAAAATTGCACAGGAAAAAAACAACACTAATTCAGTCCGAAATCATAAGTAAGAAGAGAGTGGTATTTAATATCAGACAAGCTAAGCTGTTTTGGTGGAAGTTGGGAGTGAGTAACCACACACAAGTACTTTTTATATAACAATTAGCCCTGAAAAACAGACGACGAAGCTGTTGCAAAGAAAACGAGATGAGCGACGTGCTGGAGCGACAGCATGGGCACAGTGAGACACGGAGACACACAGATATGGTATGAAAACGAGTGTAACAAGAGTTAAGACATCCCACCGTGGCAGTGGTGGACATGGCTTGGTGAGACATTCCGGCACTTGTGATTGGAGTTTTCTTGAATTAAGGGTGTTTTAGGTTCTGGGGAGTGACTAAGGCAGGACACTTCATTCACACAACTACAACCGCAGCGCTGCTTTGAGTCTGCGCCAAGTTAGAAAACCAGAGAACAAGTGAATACTGCAGGTGCCCTCAGCACCCACGAAGAAGGGGAAAACAGATACAGGGAGGACTGGGTCAGACGTGGCTGAACCAGTTCAGGGAAGAAGTAAACGTCTTTGGAGTGTATTCTTTGCTGTTATCAAGCTGACATGAGTGTAGCAACATCGATAAATTTTCATGTTAAAATATGGCAACTTCTCCACCGGCTTTTTAAGGTCTGGGTGATAAGAGAGTGGAGGTGAGAGACTCATGACTTCTGGATCTCATTGCGGGAGGAAACCCTGAAATCCCAAAGCACGGAGTGAGATTAAGGTAAAGAAGAAGAAGAACCCTGACACTGTACATACATGGGGACGGTGACTTTAGACCCTGTTTAAGACTGCAGAGGACAGACATGACAGACTACAGCTCTACCAGCCTTCACACTCTACAACTGAAGGAGAGATCGAGTCATACAGATCACAATCGTAGATTCACAATCGTAACTATTACTGTCCTCGTGCTGTCAGTATAGAAATCCATGATATTCATGCAGTATTAACATAAGAAACAAAAAACAGACCAATATTATTTTTCTAAACATAAATAAATTGAATTGCAAGAAGACCTCGATGAGAATGGCATCTGGCAGTTGATGTATTTCTTTACATTGTACTGGGATGTAAACAGATTAATTTGTTAGCCTGACTGGCATGGCCCCAAATCCAGACTTCAGCCCCCCCCCCCCCTCATCTCCCTCCGTCCTCAGTCTGTCCAGGAGCTTGCTTGCCTATGATGTGTTCAGCGGATGTAGACGTCCCTCCCCCAGTCGTCCTGATTCTTGTTGCGGCTCATGTTGGCCCCTGTGTCCACAGGGTTCTGGCAGTAACGCTCCCTCAGCTTGGCACGTCCATGCGGCTGCGTCTGGCTCGGCATCGGAGGGTGGTTCAGGTTTTCTTGGTCCGGCTCTGCGCCTTCGTCTTCCCAGGACGCCTGTCTGCCGTGATGCTGCGCCAGGTGGAGGCGGCTGCCCCCGCCCCCTCGGTAGGGCTCAGGCTCTTCGTAGGGGTCAGTCTCAATGTCCATGCAGGAGTCGCCGGCCTCGGTGTAGGCAGAGTCCCGGCTGCCCTGGGTCTCGGAGTCGAAGGTGTCTTGTCGTGACAGGCCTCGCCCGCTCCCTCCCCGTAGCTGGCCACGAGAGGAGCGCAGGTATGCCTGCTGCTGCTGAGGCTTTCCTCCCATGTCTGTCTGATAGTCATGAAGAGTGCCGCTCCCACCGCACTCCGTCAGGGGCCCGTCCCGCTTCTGCTCGCCGTGCACCAGGTACGGCCCCTGCAGCCAGCCACAGCCATGCCACACGAAAACCATGCAGAGACACAAACAGCAGAGCAAAACCAAACTGTTAGTGGTTAGTCAGCAGGATTATCAGGCAGGGTATAGACTTCAAATAACCACAATACCACAGACCTAAACGTTCCAGCTGAAGAACCTGTGATGTTGAAAGCATTAGTGTTCATGAGCCACATCAATCTTCATCAATCTAATCTAACACATGCACATTCCAGGTTTGGCACATACACACACTATCTTATACTCAAAGGGCCAACACTAACACATACAGTTATTACACAATTAGTTCCACCACGTTTTAAAATCACGACACCAACCTGCAAACTAAAACACTCCCAAGCAGTTATTCAACAAGGAGAGCAGCAGTGCCGCCTGCTGGCTGACTGACCTCATGGCAGAAATAAGCTGTATCACTATGACTACCAAGTGATTATGTATTTAATTTAAGTCTGCACTACATGATGTTTATACTGACAGACTCAGCTCAATATATTGAATCTTTTTATATAAATTAAGAAATAAAAATGAATTGGTTGGATTATTGTTGTTGCCACTATGACGGCCATAAAAAAAACGGTAGGAGATGTTTTCTGCCATTTGGTGCAATACCTGTCACTTTGTTGCCATAATGTTAAAGATGTAAATATCTTTGACAGTATGGAACTCATCATAATTGAAGAGCAGCCAGTAATAACTTGGAATCGAGACAGATCTGATTAGTATTCTGCTGTTAAAATTATTACAAAAGGAGATTAGATTAAACTGGACACAGTGTTAGCAACAGCCTCCACCAAACTAGGCGTTTCTGTTTGAAGAGGCGGACATGACTTGCTGTTTTCAGGGGCGGTACCATGGCAACACGGAGGAGGACAGCAAACTGGATTCAGCCTCCCAGAGAGTTAAAAAGTGCTGGAGAAAGGAGGCCACAGAGCTAAAGAGGGCATGGTGGGGGCAGCAGATATCATTTTACTCTTGATTACAGTGAAATGGAGGGGGCCCCGGGGGCCGAGGTGCCTTATCAGTTATTCTTTAAATCCAGTGTGGTTTGACTTGAGCTGCTCTCACAGTTTTGACAGTGCAGGGAAAGAAAACGCTGACCTGCTAAGATAAAGACTGCATCATTTTACCCGTAGGTGTTGTTAAACTAGCGCTTCATGTGTGGGAAACTGTCTCCTTATTAAGCTGATTTGTGGGTCAATTCCTGCATAGGTGTGTATGTGTGAATGTGCATCTGTGTTGGGTTTCTATATACAGCATAAACATGGTTTTAATGCACCCCTCCTTCAGGGTAAAGAGAGCAGGCTGCTGGGTTTGGATTGAGGTTGAGTTGCCGGAGTCCCCCTTCTCTCTGCTGGACTTCAGAGAGCGTGTTCTTCCTCTTTCCCCTCACCAGCTACAGCACCGTCCATGTCGGGCCACAGATCCATATTCCTGCGCAGGGAGGTGAGCACCTGTACCTGCAGGTTGGAGACGGGCTCAGGGGAGGCGGCCAGAGCTGCCGTGGCCATAGTACGGTTGAGCAGAGGGTTGGGAGGGTTGCTGCTTGGGGGGTGTGTCGCCTTCCAGTAGGCCTCCAGGTAGTCAGCCAGGTGCTCGCAGGCGTCCTCCAGCTGGTTCTCATCCAGGATGATGTCAAACAATTCCTGCATGGAAATAAAGTAACTAGAATCAAAATGAATTATTCCTCTTGTTTTAACTCAGATTCTAAGAACTGATTTACAACAACTGCTTTACACAGCTAAAAACTCACAGGTGGGCACTGAGCCAACTTGTCTGCTGCCACCATCTGCACATTTAGGTGTTTAGCCTGGGACTTCCCCCTGGATTTAATGAGTCTCTGCAGGACCTGCAAGGAGAGAACAGCACTGTGTCAACATGTATTTGTGTTAATGTTCACACCCACAGTCACCAGCTGTTGTAATTCTATCACAATTAAAGGAAGAGGGAAAAATAAATACAAATTAAAAAGGTATCCTGTGGATGTTTTCACAAGTGAGTCCATGTTTTGTTTGTAGCTTAGCACAACAAGTTAGATGGTGCGAGTTGTTTTTACCCTATTCCACTGCTCAACAGTTGGTGGCATTAATGCACCAACAAATGTAGCAACAGACCAACAACAGCAGTGAAGGAGAAAGTTAATTACACGCACAGTATGGACGTAAAACTGCGATTTAAAGTGATGTTTATGAGGACGGAAATGCACAGAACATCTGGTGTATGTTGAGGAAACATAAAGATTTTTGCAAGGAACACTGAATGCAAACACAAGAAAACTCCACAGGGTACCTTTGAGCCCATGTGTTGCCATACCTTAGGTGAGGCTATTTTGATATAGACAATGATGGGAGCGAGGGAGGTCTTGGCCAGCTGAGAGGGGTGGTTGATGGTGTCTGCGTCCAGAGCGACCAGCTGGAGAGTGCGGGCCAGCTCAAAGATGCGCTCAATCTCACTCTGTACCTCCGCTGAGGGCCCGGGAAACAGATAAGAAAACGTAAATACACCAGACAGGGAGGCAATTATCTAAGCTACTTCTCTCTTTGAGAAGACACGGAACTGTATATCAGCCGTACTTCCTTTACTTTGTGCACAAGTACACAACCTACATGTTAATAGTTAACCATGCATGTCGAGGTTTGGGAAAAAAAACACTTCCAAGCGTATGAATTAGATTGGATCACACTTAAAGTTCCATTTATGCACAGCTAAATGGAGCAGTGCAGCATCCTCATTCTGGTGCCACCTCCTGACATTTAGGAACATCCTCATGTGCTTCTGATGATTTGTGTTTCAATGTTGCAAAGGAAGGAGGCACTTAAGAATGAGATGCCTGTGGCACTTGGAGTAACTAATAATAAGGACACAATTTTTCACCATGTAAATAAAACAGAAGCAGAAAAACAAAACACCCTCATCAAACAAATGAAGTGGAACATTAGTTTTTGTTAGCGGTAATAGGCACAGCAGTAATTATCAGGTGAGCCACTCGGTGGTCTGTGCACTGCTTGGGACTTTTGTTTTCATTGTTCCTCAACAACAGCCTATATGAGCTTGTTATTTAGCATTTCAAGCACAGTTCCCCCCTTTTATCAGCCTGCTGACGTGTAAGGAGAGAGATAAAAACTGTAAACCAGAATGTTCCTCGCCTGTCTGGTCAAACCTCAGCGCCTCCAAGTTGTGTGTGCTGCCAACCCAGCAGCAGAGAGAGATAACAGGGGCAAGGCAATCTGCAGAGAAACAGGGCCTGTGCACATTTCAGCAGCCTCCAGAGGACCGAAGAACACAGAATTAAAGCTGGAGGGCCTCCGCAGGGTGATAATAAATGTGAACTTTAACTCATATAAAGAAATAGCAGGCAAGGTTTCCATTAACCTCAACAAGACTTGGACTCTTGCAAATTTGGATTTAACTGCAGAGAGAAACTTGCTCCCCTGTCATGACTACACTGAGTTTACGAGGCGAGGTCCAGCTTCTATAGAAGCTATCCTTGGGTAGGATTGCACCAATACAGTTTAGGGTCATGACATAGAGCAGTATGGAAAGTACTGGCTTCCTCTCTGCTCAATCCCGATCACATTTGCAGAGCAGCCACCAGCTGCCCTGCTGCCCTCCCACGGATCTGTTCCCGGTTTGGTTTCGTAATTCTTTTCTTTTTGTTAGAGACTACAGGCTGTCACACAGAAGTATGAGGAACAGAGAAACTGACAGGCAAGCAGACAGGCAGACAAACAATGTATGAGCAGATGATGAATATAGTGAGAAGAAAAGGGGAGGGAAGAAGGAGAGAGGCTTCATTGTTTTGTTGGAAGGAGAGCATACGTACCCAGTACGTCTGAATCAAAAGAGAGTGGAGGAAGAGGATGGGTGGTGGGAGAGGAAGGGGGAGGATGGGTAAAGGGCAGAAAAGACAGGATGAAGAGAGAGAGGAGGCCAGATCAGACTCAGGCAGTGAGAGCGGGTACAAAAGGGAAAAACTTTCAGGTCATAGGATGAAGTACAATGATGCCTAAAATACACTCTCTGCCGATCTTTATCGCGTCTAACTCTACACTAAATAAAAATTTTCAGAATTCACATTTTGTAAACCACTTTCCCCAAATCCTCAGATTCATCACGCACAAATTGTAAAGTGAAATCATAAGAACTTAAAGAGTAACTGAATACCACTTGAAAATGTCTTGCTTTTGCTGACCTCCTGGTTGAACTTCTCACTGTTGGGTGTAGGTACCGGTACAACAAAGCACACTTGTGGCCACACCCAACCACAGCCATCAGTGAGGCTGGGTCTCTAGGCTGAGGCATCCTGAATTACTAAATATTTCATATAAATAAGTGCTTTTTTTCAGTGTTTAATCATAATTTAACTGCTCATATGCAGTTTTACAGGTATTTTTAATGCTTTAAATGGGATTTCTTTAACGTCTGTGAAATGGCAAATGAATTTAACTCAAAGCTGCAAACCAAGCTGCCAAGAAAAGGACATTAAAAAATACATCTGGTGATTTTAATAAATAATAAACTGTTCCTATCTATCAGTATTACGGTGATTGCGGCTTTTTTAGGTAGGACACGGCGGTGACGTCACAAGCAGACTATATAAACCCCGGGACGGCACATTCGTTTCGCGGGGTGTCGTACCTAACCCTAAATGAGGATGACCTCCTGTGCCCAACGTTTGCTGTTTTCTCCTCTGTGTGTGGCTTTCAGTGAACCACAGGAGGTTTTTGTGGCGCTGGGAACGTTTACCAAACAAAAAAAGCCAAGAGCGTCACTCCGTCATGTTCAGTTTCCCGACAGAAACACCGTGAGTGTGGTCAGCCCGGCTGCCGCGAAGAGTTGGTCTCTGCTGCTCCGGTGTCTTCATGGCGGGAGTCTCGGCAACTGAGCAGATAAAAACTGAGCAGGGCGACTCTACCTGGTCTCCAGTGGCCCGGTTAGGAAGCCCAAGCTCAAACACACGATAACTTTAAGTTAAAGTCCGTTTTCTCTGTTTTGTGTTTGCTAGCTCTACAGGTCATGCTAACGCTAGCTAGTGAAACTCCGCCACTCCACCTGCTACTTAAAAGACGGGCTCAACTTCAGTATGTAACGCATGTTTGAGACCTGCACTTTAAAGTAGGAGATTTGGGAACAATTGACACGAAAACACTTAGTTTGATCGGTGCCATGTTTCTGCAGTGTCTGCTGCAGCTCTGCCCTGCACACCTGATTCAAAAAAATTGTAATGACATCCCAACATGGCCAGACAAAGGCAAAAAAAAACTTGTTCTTGGACGCCCACGATACATGGCGGTTTCATTTCATTTCACAGAAATCGGCCAGTATTAAAATGGTGCCGAAAATGAATTGGCATCTATTTTGACCAATTGTCTTTTTTAAAAGCAACAATACCAAAATTCACTGGCACCATCTTCTCAAAAGTGACGTTTTCCCAGTTTTCTATGCGTAAACAGGTCAGAAATAAACAGCTAATACTTTCATAGGCTATAAAACTTTTCATACAGTCCCTCAACATTAGTACCCATCAGAGTTTATTTTATAGGCTACTTCAAGTGCTATCTATATATGTCTAGAAACACACTCAAAGCAATATAGATATGACACAGTGAAAATGTTCAGCAGCATGACATGATGAATAAAAATGTTTTCCAACTGCCTCCGCTGTAAATATTTTCTTTATACTTTTATCATCTGTCAAATAATAAATGAACTAACTCTTGTCACTTGTCTGAATGGGACTGAAATGTGTTGTCTTACCCAGGCTGGAGCGGGTACTGGAGCGCTCAATGATGGTGTGTTTGGAGGGGTTATTGAGGACTGAGCGTTTGGCCAGGGAGATGTCCGCTGTCACCCGTGTGATGGATATCCTGAAACAGTGATACAGTGCACCAGTTGTTACTGGGACACCAAACAGAAACAGTTACAAACCATTGCTATGGAAGCTCTTTCTTACCTGCCCTCAAACTTGTGTTTCAGAAAGTCAAAGAGCGCTTTCTGCATCATGTCTGTCACCTGGAGATGAAACATCAGGTGTAAGGTATCATACAACGTGAGAGAAATTAGATGTAAAACAAGCACATGTTGATAATTTTCCTCCTCACCTCGTAGCCTTTGAGTGACGGCCCGACTAGGATGATGGGTCTCATGGAGGGAACCACGTCATAGGGGGGGACATGCTCCATCTGAGCGAGGAAAAGACAGCACCAACAGTGCAGTTAGTTAGATTGTCACGTTGTGTTTGAATGTACATCCAAAAAGCTCACACAGATCTACGGTCACAGTTACATTCGCGCATAAATCAACATTAACTCAACACAAAAGCCCTCTCTCCCCAGCACCTCCGTCACCTCTCTGAGCGGTCAGATTGATGGATGGTGAGTTTCAGACGCCAGAGTCCATGTGTTTTATTGACTCCCCATGAATGTTTGGTGGCAGGGATCAATTTCTCACTGAGAGCTCTCGTCTCTATTTCTTATTCTGCACTCTCACATAATTAAAGTGTCCATAATTAAACCAGACGCCAGGATGTCGAGAGCTCTCGTGACTGTGCTGCTGCTCTAACACAAACGTCATACTTCACACTTTTCTCTTTTTGTTGTGCATCAGCTCTTTGGGGGGAAAGTTGTCAAGTATTACTGCCAGTAACTGCTGCCATGTGATGTTTACAGTAAAAAAAAAGTGTTTTTCTTACATTTGAGCTTCAACTTTTTGTTCTTGATCCCAAATTTATCCATTTATGCTAGAAATCTAAAATGAATAGATTTTTCAACGTACAAATCTCTGTCACAAGTTTTCTTTCAGCCATTTACACTTAAAACTGAAAAATGTAATCTCCAAATGACATTTAAAATCAGATTTTTGCATTGTTATTTTCTTCATCATATTCTTGTTGTGTGGTGTTTTTAACAATCAAAATGAACACATATCTTAAAACTGAATATAAACAGTATTGTATTCTGTGGCTTTCCTTAAGCCATTTACACTAAAAATGGAGAAGCCTGTGAGTGACACGGTGACTTATGCAGAACACCCACACAAACACAATCCATACTGCAGCACATGGACCTTAGGCTCATCTGTACATTATGAATCATGAAAGGAATGATTCATCTGTAATGACTCCATAAGCATCTGCCGTTTTTAGAAACAAACTGTTTTTCCCTGAACTGGGGTGAAAACAGTCACACGTCCCCGTCCTCTGACTAAACTGACTAAACACACACACACACACATATACACATATACATATATATATATATTTTTTCCTTCTTAGATCTGTATTCTAAGCACGCCCCCTCCTCTGTGCGGTGCTGTGCAGCTCTTAAGGCAGGATATAGTGCTGGAGTGCCCGCTCCACTACATTACATTACATAAAGCAGAGCAACGGAAGCTCATTTCACCTCATTTGTATTCACGGAGGCTAAAAATAATTTTTTTTAAAAGTTTCCAAATGGCTCTTGTCTCTAAAGGGGCAGAGCTGGAGTACTGAACATAACAATAGTCCTCAGTGGTCTTGAATAACACGAGCACTGTGTACAATTCAGTGCGATGAGTAACAGGAAGGATGGTGTACATAAAATAGTGCTGGATGTTAATTCTCTACTACCGTTCATTGTCTGTCTCTACAATCATATTGTTAAAAAATACTAATGTCAATGTGTTGTGTCTCACAGTTTTCATGTTTACAGTAAATGAATGAGAAGTTGCATTTTATAAAATGGAGTTAAAATACTGAGGAACATCATCTCTTTTAAACATGAAGGATTTTGTTCCAGTATTCCAGGTGATTATTGGCTCAGTGGGTTTAAATGAATACCTTTGACATATTATCTCCATTATGCTGCGAAAATTGTCTCAGTACAAACGGTCTATTCCCAGTATTAAGGTTTATTGTATCTCTACAAAATCATATTGTTAAAAAACACAAATTTTTGGATATTTTGCTTCCCAGTTGACCTGTTTGCATTAAATGATTGATAAAAGCTCTTTAAAAAATAGATTTAAAATTCTTATCTTGCTCAATATCTTCACATATTAATACTGACATAATGCTATGATAACTATTGGAATAAAAACTGTGTCACTATCTGTGTCCTTTTGCTCTGCAACCTTAATCTAAAACCTGATTCAAATTGTGCTGAAAAGCAGAACAAACAGCTGATCGTAGGCTACTGTCACTCAAATGAGCCGTCATGAATGGAAATGAAAGCATGTCAGGAGGTATTACTGTTACAGTCTGACTAACAGAGCCTGGGATGGTTCTGCACCTGCATCTGTGCACAGACAGCTGTGATGCAAGCTCTGGGGAAAGGATAGAGGCGTCATGGTTTACAAATGTGCATATTTTTGTTTTAATGTGTCCATGGAAACATGAGAAAGGTACTGTAAAATATTCTGCAGACTGATTTCTTCCCACCACAAGATACCACAAGAAGGACAATGTAAGACGACAGCGGATGAGGAGACAGAGTGAAGAGTTGAAATGTTAGATGTTAGTCATGAGAACGAACCACACTCACCGACTTCTGTTTCTGTTTAGCTGGGCCACCTACAGTATCATTCCACACAAAAGCCAGAAGAGACAAAAAAAGCACAAAACACAAGAGCACATTTAGTTATTGACAGGTTAGGATGGGGGGGGGGGGGGTTGGTTATTGATTAAAACAGAGTTTATACTGACGGGCACCACTGTGGCTTCATTTTAAAATAGACTCAGACTGATATGCAGCAGCAGCCATTTCAGAGTCTATCGGTAAGCTCAACGCCTCTCCCAGACAAGCACAGAAACCATCATCCAAACATATCTCAGAGTAACCATCATGACTGGATCCTCAGGGGCCAGATTGTGTTAGATTCGGGAGATAGGGTAGCAGCAGGGCCGGTCCAGTTGTGAGTTAGTGAGAGATGGAGAGGGGAAGGAGAGACCTGACCACATCTTGGAAGAGTAGGAGCACAAATGCGGGAGGGAAGAGGAGGGAGGCTGGCGAGGTGAGCGAGGTGTCCTGGGCCCCTAATGTTACCTTCTTAAAGAAGGGCAGTCGGTGGGTGTTGGCCTGAGGGGATGTTACGCTGCCTGACATGCCCTTGGAGGAGCGAGGGTCACCCTGGGACTCAGGGGGCTCCTCAGCATCCAGGTCGAGGGGGTCAACGTCAAAGGACACAGTGGATATGTCCAAGTGAGCTGATGAGGAATGAGGGCGGGCGGTGCAGAGAGAGGAACAAGAGGAGAACAGAAAAGGAAAAAGAGTGAGAGGAGACAGAGGAGAGAGCGAGACATGGTGAAGTGAAAGAGGATGAGAAGATAACAGAGGGGGGAAATCAAAAGGGGAAGAGTAAATAGAAGGAAGAATGTGAGATGCATTCAGAAAGAGGCATGGAGGAAATTGCAAGAGATGGCACACACTAAGATTGAAAAAGGTGACAGTATGATTTAAACCGGAAATAACAGTGACAAAGAGATTCAAAAAGAACACATTAGATAACCATGAAGCAAGGCACAGGTGTGGGGTATAATAATGTGAATAGCAGAGAAGAACGTGAATTCAACACAAAAAAAACTTGAAGTGTAGATGTGAAAGAACTGGGCAAAGGAGCAGCTGCAGAAGAAACTGGAAGAAAGTAGCAGATAGGAAGGAAGGAATCAAGCTGAGGGGGAAGCTGCTGTCGGTACTGTTGTTGGTGATGCAGGTGTGGTTGGTACGGGGAGGGTGGACAGGGCTGGCAGGTGTCTTCTTTTGGACATTTAGATAAATTACACTGCATTTGCTTTTAGTTGCCAAGAGTTAGATGAGAAGATCGATACCACTTTCATGACTATGAGTATGTAGCTGGAGCCAGCAGCAGGTTAGCTTAGCTTAGCACAGACAGTTAGCTTTGGCTCTGTCCAGCAGTAACAACATGTCCTACCAGCACCTGTAAACCTCACTAATTAATATGTTGTATCTCATCTTTTTACATGGTCTAGCACATGAGTCCTTTTGTTTTCAGTCTTTGCGCTAAGCTAAGCTAACCAGCTGTTGGCTGTAGCTTTGTATTAAAGAGTGGTAGTGATCTTCTCCTATAACTCCCTCACCAGGATTCAAATAAGTGCATTTCTCAAAATGTCAACCTTTTGCTTTAAGTCAGATCAGCCACTTAGAATGTATAAGGTGTAAGACAGTTGTGGTTTGTATTATGCATGTATGTATTAAGTTCAGTTCAGTGGCTCTATTTGATTTAAGTCAATCAGAGTTGTTTTCTTTGCACTTCCCTCTCTCCTGCTGTCTCTCTGGATATCGAGCAGCCGTTCTGTGTCGTCCCAGTGATGCACACACAAGCCAGACATACTTATCAAGTTTAATGAGTGTGGGCTCTCTCGGCTCTATTTCAGCCCTGTCCTGTGTGCTAATGACGGACCTCCTAAGACCTCTCTCAGTTCACATGGCAAGCCACTGAGACGCGGCGTGATTCATCATCATGCCTGACTAACTAGCCAATTTAAATCTTCATCTAAATATCAGACGCCTGTCTCATCTCGCTCACTTGCTCTCTCTCTCTCTCTCTCTCGCTCTCGAGCTCGCTCTGTCAGGATTGCACGTGCGCCCACACAAACACGGACACACGGTCACTGTTTTGCCACTTGATAAGGAGACCCTGTGACCTCACCTGTGCCAGGTGGGGTGGGCCTGCGGGTTCCCGTGGCAACATCCAGGCTGGAGCTTCCTCCAGATTTACTGTAATGAGAAAAACAGGCACAAATTATCACTTGGTGAAAGAAAGATATGGTGCCTTCACAATACTCAGAACATGGGGCTCATTATCTTCAACTTTTTACCATTTTTACAAAAAATAAACAACATGAATTGTTGTTTAAATTGATTTTGCCTATAATTTATACCATTGAGCAAGCTATTGTTAGGTTTCCTTCTGCAAGAAGACACTGATCACCATAATTTGTAGTAAACAAGGTGCTGTTGTGACCCTCTGGTAATAAAAGGTGAGGCGAAAATATTGGGGGAAAGTGTTAATGAGCTACTGATCATGTGCAGAAGTTCATGAACTGCTAGTTGTGTATTACAATCTGGCCTCGCGATTACTGTAGTGTTGATTTTTAAATACAGTTAAGAATAATCAAAATAAATAGATTCATTCCTGAAAACAAAAACTGAGACTACTGAGGCATATATATATATATAAATGCTACAGTTGCGTAGTGGAGCACAGTGACTCACTGCTGAGCTTTGTCTATTTTAGGACATTTTACATTGCCTGGTGGGTGAAGTGTGACTCAGATTTGACCTGTTTTGAAAAGCGGGGTTGTTTATACTCTAGATTCAGAGGGTTGTTCATGGCTACCTGGAGCTCAGACGGTTCTGTCTCATCCTTTGCTCCTGCAGCAGACGAGTGTTCTCCAGTTTGACGGGGCTGGGGATGAAGCCCACCTCACAGCCTTCCTTCACCAGACGCCCGATCCACCAGTCATTGTTGTATTTCTGCACACAAAACACACAGCCAGACATCAGCAACCAATGATACGCCAACATTTTCCTGCTCACACACATCACCACTTAGCAGGGAACCAGTGCCACTCGAGATGTGGTATCAGAACACAACCACAACAAAACTGATAAGTGCATTTTGTATCATTAAAGCTTTCGCCATTTATGTCATTAAGGCTTTAAAGTAGAATTCTTTAAACTATTTATACACTATAAGACAGCACAGAGTACAATAGCTTGTCGCTTCCCAAGTACATTATGGCACACTTTCACTTTCCTTTTTGTATGCCTAACATTTGTACCGACAAAAGTACAATTATTTACTCCAGGTGACCAAAATCATTAGCGAATATTAAGAAAATTACTTTTAATTTCTACTTTTATTTATTCTTAATTATATTTTAAACTACATCACTGATTTCTCCCTGAATTGCATCTTTTGTTGCCGCTAACTCCCACTAAAGGCCTGGGTAAGGTTTAGATGGAAGGAGGTAGTGCAGTCACCACCACCAGTGGTTTAAAGGGACCAAGCCTACAGCTCAACTTTAGGCTTTTTTTTCCATCCAGGTGCCTCAGTCAAGACATAAGTTATTTTACCTTTAGTTCATGCTAATTAGGCACAAATGTATATTCCAAAATCCAAAAACTACAAAGTACATTTGTAGATCAAAGGTCTGCATCAGTTTGGTCTTTTACTATGTGTAACATTTACTGTACAGTACAGAAAGTGCTCCTCACGTAACTCTAATTTTGAGTGTGTATTGCATTGTTTAGTGTGTAAGATCTTAGTTGAGTTTCTGGGAAGTTCAAACCTCTTTAATGTGCAAGAAGTCTTTGGCTTCAAAGGATATGGCCATGCCCTGCACAGGTACATCATCACTGGGGCCGGGGTTGTAACCGACATTTGTCCGCACAGCAAACGCCACTGGTTTGGTCTGAAGCAGCGATGGAGAAGACAGCCATTAGTAAGCAGATGGCAACTCGCCAGAAACATCAGAAAGAGCTGCTGACCTCACACCGAGTTCAGCGTCGACTTGACACTGATGAAGAGGTTTAGCAGGGACACAAACAACAGACACTGATGTGAAGATTATACCACAATAATGTCCATTAAACCAACACTAACAACAGCAGTTGTTCTCTGACCTTTGCTTTCTCGAGTGTGGCGAGCGCCTGTCTGTCGGCCTCCTTCCTCAGAGCCTCGGGATCCTCCTCCAGGGACACGTCTGAGTCCGACGGCCGGCTGGTGTAGGAGTCTGCAGAGCCCTGAAACGCACATTGAGATTACGTAAAGGTGAGGAGGATCAGAGGAGGGACAACAGCGCAGCACAGGTCCACGAATCAAGCCTTGGACGGAACAAAAAGAAGAGGTCGACCTCTTGAAATCGAAGGATGAACTCAGTGGTGTCTGGGTATGCGTTTGAATGCCTGTCGTCTAAACTGGAAACCTGTTCGTTCATCTTCAGGGATTCCCAATGTTCTCCTCTTCCTTTTTGTCTTGCGGCTCTGCCTTTGCAATTTGTTTGTGGTCAAAATGTCTCGAGAAGCGTAACCTAGATAAACACAAAAGGGGCCTTGGCCTTCATACTGCACGAAAGCTGACTCTGTGTAATTTGAGGTGGAGAGGATGCATAACAACAGGTGGACATTTCCACCGCAGCTTCAGTGAGGCCGAGGTGTTAAATCTTTTTGCACAGGTACAACAGAGTCATTGTGTGGGTGTGTCAAGTAGAGACAGAAAGAGCTGGAGAGAAAAAATGGCCTGAGGACTGTTTATAATATTAGTGGGGATATAAATTTCTCATGAAGTGGCTACAGTTTCCAACACATCCACCACTCATGCACGGTAACTTGACTCTCTCCTGCTGACCCTCATCCAGACACCCATACCACAATAAAAACCTGAGCCTCCTGTGAGCCTGCGGCGTCGGCCCACTGTACTGTTCAGTATAGCACTACAGTGAGGGAGGCAGCCTGAACTTCTGAAGTGTTTGAGTGTTCAATTTATATAACAATCCCACTTGTTCTCTTCTCACTGTTTTTTTTTTTTTTTTTTTTTTTTTTTTTCTGAGCTGACAGGCTGCCTGGCTCTTTGTAGGAGGTGCTGACAAGAATGCGGACAGCTGAATGTGCCAGGCAGAAGAAGTGAGTCACTAGGTGTGGGCTTTTAAAATAGAGGTGAGAATGCGCAAATATGACATATACCATATGTAATAATGAGGAAAAATTCCCTGAGCGTGTGTAATCAGACAATACACTCTGTGAGTACGACAAATATCTCTGGGCTGGGGCTTGAGATTGATTTGAATATTGGTGCCAACACGATATCCCGGTTTCTGATCAGTTTGATGAGATCCAGATTCCCAATACATCTTTCCATTCCTTTGTTTGGGGAATATAAAAAATTTTTAAACCCTTTTTTATGTCATATGGCAAAGTGCTCAATATGTGAGTGGTAAATGAAGAATTTCTAAGTTGGATGAGGAAACATACAATTAAAGGAAAAGTAAAAATTCTTAGGCATCTGACCAAGTATCTAATGCCAACTTTCAATGCTATGAATACATTTGGATAAGTGCTCAAGTATTGGTGTTTGAAACACAGCAATACTCTAATGTTAATATTTCCTATTTTAAAGTTTCAAAATCTAACTTGTCTTGGTTTGGTTGTTGTTACTAGGCCTTGTTCCCGAGTAGTTAAAGGGAAACGCGAACAACTTTACACATAGAAGTCTGTTCACAGGTCTTGGGGAGTACAACTGCATTTACCTTTGGTGGCTCCAGTAAGAGCTGCAAAAAACTGAATGAATTTGGGGGCCGGTAGGGCGGAAGACTTAAAAAGACAAAAATGAAAAAAAATCTGTTGGTGAGGTTAAAGAGAGGTGACCTGACCTCTGTAGCCTGATTGGTGGTCGAGTTGTATTGTGGGTGACAAGGAAAGGTGTGTGGGACAACACAGACAATGTGTCTGATTCTGCTGCTGTTTTTATACTTAAAAAAAAAAAAACTGGCCATTGTCAGTCCAACCATGTTATATGAGTGCAATGCTAAATAGGTGAGGTACTTTTCAAGTAATGACATTTGATACTCAGCCCTAAGATGAAAATAAATCTTAAGTTGTCCTGGTGTCCTGAAGTCAAGAAGCATATCATACAAGTGCCGTGTCCCTGGTTCGATTGTGGCCAGGGACCTTTACTTCAGTTTATATTCCTCTCTCTCCCCATGTTTCCTGTCTGTATTGAACAAAGCCAACATGCCACAACATTGTTCTCTTTGAAACATAAGGTGAAAATAAATCAAAAGAGAAGTCCTTGCTGGCACCCCTCAAACACATTCCTTTATTAAGAACCTGTGGCAAGAAGTATTTTGAGAGAACAAACACCTGAGTTGACCTGAGGGTCTAAATATACCCAGAGAGAAAAACTGGTCATGTGTGAGACAGTGAAGCATCTGACTGGCTGTCAGTGTTTGCATGTGCATTTATGTGTGATTTATGCTCCTCTACGCCTTTGATTACCATCCATGTGTGTTTGTATGATGTGAAATGAAACTACAAACACAAATGTTGATTCTAGCTCTGCCACCTGTCGTATCGAGGCGCTCTGTGACTTGGCAACAGCACACCAAACGTAGACACTCCCTGTTGCCAGGGCGATGGCTTGCTATTCCTCGCATCCTCAGGCATTCACAAACCATCCCCACTTCCTGTTTCATTTACTCCAACTCAAACACTCACAGCGGTGCGCTCGCGTCCCACTCAAGCCGAAGGAATGATCCTGTGAGTGACATGCAGCATCTAATGAGGACAGTAACAGCCGGCTCGTCTTACCAGCTCTGAGTCATCTTCTGAACCGTGCAGGTGCATCCCGACATCGAGCACCGACTCAGTGAAGGTTAACAAACCCTGATAGGGAACCCACTGAAAAAAAAAGAAGGCCAAAATGACGTCTGAAACAACCTGGGACCAACCTGCTCGCTGCAACAGGTCGGTGATGCAGCAAAATACAGTGCGAGAGAGAGAGTGGGAGGGAAAGGCGATGACTCTATGTGTGTCTGTGCATGTGTATATCTGTGTATGGACAAACGCTTGTGTCTCTGAGTCACTCTTACAGTTGATTCACGTCACACACAGCGAGAAAAAAAAAAAAAAAAAAAAGAGGCAGGGAAAGAAGAGACTGAGAAGGATGGACAGATACATGTGCACAGACACAAAAGTCAATACCTCAGAAAAAAAAGGTTAATGTGGATGAGGGGAGACACAAAATAGCAACTGATCAATAACCTCTCTGCACCTTCTCTCCCCTGAAACCCTACAGAACGTGCTGATAGACTGAGAGAGCAACTGGACAAATTTACTCCACCTTTTCATTTCCAACACTCTCCTCCCTTCCCTCTCCTCTCATGTCAGTGGGTTGTGTCTCTAATTTAGCTGCTTGCTTCACTTCACATACAGCTCCTGTTCAAAATAGCTACAGGCCACCTGATGGCGGAGCTGCTTTCCTATTGGCAGTGCCAGACTAGAGACCCCAGCAGTGTCATAGTAACCATCTCTCCGGCTTATTACAGGCAGCCGGTGAGAGCTGCATCAAGAAGGAGATAGAAAGAAGATATAGTGATCAATAGTAAATAAAATAAACTGGAAGGGAAATCAGCAACGGGGAAATTGCATAAAAGCTTTGCAACAGTTGATCAATTAAGTATTTTCTCACGTTCTGTGTGTGTTACAGCTGTGAGGCTGCAGTCTGGTAAATAGGCTGGAGAATAACATGGCAATAACTATATCATGACAATATGGCCTTTGGGGAGTTTGTTTGTTTTTTTTTTTTAAAGGGAAATATCCACATTTTTACCAAGGACGACCACAAAACGGAAACTTTCCTACATTAAGTTGGTAATATCCAAACTATACTGCACTGCCACAGAAGGTAAGGAAAGGGTAAAACACATGAACGGTGCAAAAGGTGAGGCTCAGTAATTATCGTGAAAATGAACCGACTGTTTCTCCTCCATTTTCTGCAGAGTGGCTGCCAACGTGATGAATTTACACCTCCTTAGCATTGATATTGAATAAATGGAGGTGAAAAAAAAAGAGAGCAACACAGCGGAGGGGGGTAATGGAATAAGGAGTGAGGGTGGGATGGCAAAAGACAAGTGCTTTGAATAATGAGGCTTGAAAAGAGTCACCCTGCAGCAAGGAAATCAGTTAACATTGTTTCTGATCCGAGGGTGCCTTTGGAAATGGATTCAAGAAAAAGGGAAATCAGAAAAAAAGGGAGAAGTTGGAAGCAGTAAAGAAAATCTGCCTTTGAAATCTGCATAAAGCTTACAAAAGACTGCATATATTGGTTTGGCATCAATATTCTACTAGTTTAATGCTCATTTGTCCTTTTTACCATCTTTAGAAAACATGAGAAATGATCAACCCTGTCTTCCTAGTGTCACACGACAGAGCAGAAGTCAATTTCAATTTTAATCTCCTTCTGCCATAAACAACAGGAACACTGCTGCAGGTTTTGTCAGACTTCACAACGTATGACTAAGAAGTGATTACCATCTGAGAGCTAACACATGCTGCGAACCCCTGCCCTGATAATTAAACAGATAAAAATATCTTCCTACTTATCAGCTCAGAAGATGTGAAAAAAAAAAAAAAAAGGAAACCTGAGGACATTAAATATCCTCTTCCTATTTGCTTTATCTCCGAGTCTCCTCGGGCTCCAGTCGTCAAACATTTCAGAAGAAGAACAAGAACAAAACATCTCATCTCAGACAGATGAGAGCCAACCAGAATGCATTAGTAGCTGAGCCTCAGCTCCACTGTACATTCAGCTCACATCCAGAGTGAGATTAGCTCAGTGAAGACAGGTATGGGAAAAAGAAACCTGGGGGAAAGAAAAGGGAAAAGTGCCTCAAAGGCATATGTACAAACTGAGGCTTCACAAAGGACAGATTTCCTGTCTGGAACTCATAGCCGGTGGCTGTAAACGGCCATATTCCTTTTCTCTGTCACAGCAGCGTCATGGCAACCAGCTGGACGGTGTGTGTGTGTGGTGTGCGGAGATGACCAGAAAGATGAGTCATGGACTAAACTCACCAGAAATCCCCATTTCCACAAACAAGCAAAAAGGGAATCCATTAACAAGTCCAAGTTTCTTAATTTTATATTTTCTGGGGAATAAAATCCCAACAAGTTTAAAAGACTGGATACAGATCTTCTTTAAGCAAGAATTCGTGGTTCTAGCTTCTTAAATGTGAATATTTGCTGGT